GTATATATATGTATATATATATGTATATATATATATATATATATATGTACAATGATGACTTTAATAGATAAACTTCAGTAACTAACCCTTGTAAATAATTGTATCATTTTGTATTTTCTGTTTTATTTATGTCCTTGATTAATTTTTTATTATATGTCTAACTTTTATACTAATTTTATTTTTGCATCGGGAAGACAAATTTTACTTGCGTTTTATGTACCAGTGACAATAAAAGAATCTTGTATCTTGTATCTTGTATATATATTATATAGGAAGACAGTTATACAAAAGACAGTTATACAGTTATACAGTTATATAAAAGACCATATATGCATTTTGTAATCGTCTTCCACATTGTTTATAAGTGTCTAAAACTGGGCACCCAATGCATAGCACTACCATTAACTGACAAATTCATTGCCACTCTCTGTGAGCGCTTGACGATGTGACACTATCTGCTAATTTTTAGTGGATTGTCATTAAATCAGTAACATATCTATGGACGGGGGCGACTCCCCAACTGAAACTGTTCAAAGCATCAGGTTCGGATTTATCAAACTTGCTTATAGCCAGAGTTCTGTCTGGTCTAGCTTAGCCACACTGACAGACACATAGGATAAGTTGATAACATAAGTAGTCATAGTCCCTTTAAATGCAAAAATATGTAGTTTAAATTTTACCATATCACTTAAAGAACCATATCTATTTGAAATTCCTTCTAAAATTTGTTAGTATAAATGTCATATCTATGGAGAATGAGATGTATACATGTCGTTTAAAATCCTTTGTTTTCAGTGTATTTTGATCTGGAACAGCAGTTTCCTTTTACGTGCAATAATATCCGTGGTGTACCGTTATGTGTGATATTAATTACACAAACTAAATCCCGCTTAATTTCTATAGGATACACTCGTTCATCTCCTGCAAACATCAGTGCATGGTTCTCTGCATAACTGCACGTATGTGTAATTTATCGTCATCCATTACAATCGGAAAAATTCTCCCAACTCACGTCAGGTAGCAATGAAGTACGTGTAGAATTAGAGAGATCAGTCTAAGGTATAGAGGTAAAATTGGCTTAGCAACCCGTATCCGTGGAATTAAAAATAAAATGCTTTTAGATACAGGCACTTAAAGAGTACCACCATTCAAGAAGTCAATTAGCTTTTTACAAGCAAGGGAACATTTTCAAACTGCATTCTTATATTTATAAATGGAATGTCAACGTCTGTACATAAAAAATGAAATGGATTTTATATGTAGAATAAACTTGCGTGCAAGTGGGTAAAGTGTAAAACAATATAAATCATCTTGTTTATTCAAATTTTACCGTACAAGTTTCACTCATAAACATGGTAATATAGATATTCATGAATAATTTTGATATTCTCCAGTCTTGATCATTAACTATTTCTCGGTTGTCGCTATTTCTCTCCTGATCATTCACGTCAAGCATCTCTTGTCTCTTTTATTTGACAGGAACTTCGTTGATAAACGCTGATCTATCTGAGCTTAGTTGTCAGCACGTGAATGATGTACCTGTTCATTCGGTTTCAGGAGTTCAAATAAATTGTCTCCGTTTCTCCTTACAATCTTTGTAAATATGTTTGTGTATTTAAGAAATTTATTATAGTTCAGTTTAGTTTGATTCAATTCATTTAGATTTGAAATACAATATATAAATGACAAAAAAATCATACAACAAAACAAATGACAATATCTGAAAGAACCAAGGAAAAACCCAAGAAAGTTAAAAAAAGAAAAGTGTTGTTTGCATTGGGGCCTTAATACAAAATGAGAACATTGACAATTGCACAAACGAGGTTCATAATAAAAAGTGAAAAAACAATAATTACAATGTAAACCATAAAGACACGAGTGGTTGAATAACAGTACCATTTAAACATTCATATAAATTAAAAGACAGAGAACTGTGGAAACAAATAACTCATGTCAGTGCGCATTCTGCCGTAGGTGGAGATAGCGATTAATGATGATAAATTTAAGAAATAAATGATTGTAGTAATAAAAAAAATAAATAAAAAAAACAGATTGTGAAAAATTACAATTAGGAATAACAATGAGTGATATACTAGGTCAAATAATTATTTAAAAATTTAAAAAGACATAAAATTTATTGAGAAATATTTACAATTCTTAAATAACAATTTATTTACAATTAGTAATTTCAAAATTTTCCATAAAAGTCGCAATTCATTTATAAAAATAGAATATCTGCTTTTTAATAATAATAAATTGGCCAAATCAATTAGAAAAAAATCAAGCCTGAAAGACAATGAAATTAATTTATTAATTTAAATTTATTAAAAATAATGAATTATCTGCACATTAAATAATTTCAAAATTGGTCAAATTTTGAAGCCATGTTGGTTTCGAATTGTTTATCTGGAATCTGATCTGCTGCAGATTTCAATAAATATTTATGCATCTATTTTTTGGCCTATTTGAAATCATATTGATTTTTTTTTTAATCTTTTATTCATCCAAGTTGTGTAGTTTGTTTTTAGTTATTCATCTATTGTTGTTTTATCTCTCCATTCCTTGTTACTTACAATCTGTCTGATTACCGAATTCAGGACTTAGATGTGACTGTGTGGCACGACTAGTTGGAAGAACGTGTATAGCCGTACAGTATATCTATCTGCCTATCCATTCCATTCTCAAGGGAAAGATAATCATTGTTTGAAAAAAGAAAAAGAACATGCAGAGAGAACAGACTATATCAGTGGCGTTATCAAAGAATTTGAAATAGAGGGGCCTAGAGAGGAATTTTCACAGATGGAGGGTCTATACTACCTCAGCACTAGCATGGTTGGGGCTGAGGTACTGTAAGAAAATTTTATGATTATGGAACTTCTAGATGGCCGGAAATGGAACTCTTAGACTCAAAATTGGATAATTTTTTTTTTTTTATAAATTTTTATTATAATTTTAACAAATTTAGGGGGACTGGGTCGGCTGGGACCCCCTTGAATTCATTCACTACTGTATTTACACTAACGAACAAATATAAACCAAGACTCCCTATTGACACATGTGGACGGTCCCCCTGGTTAAATATGCTTTTAAAATGAAATTTTAACTACATCTATCGCAAATTCTCCAATGAGTGCCGCTGCGCCTATCAAATGTTAAGAACTTAAGTGTGCGCATTTATGCGGGAATGTATATTTATAGTACTCTTGTATTTAAAGTGAGTGTTTGATTTAATATTTGGACAATGAAAACCAGTGCCAATTAACAAGTTGGATGGTCACTGCATGCTACCAGATGCTAGTTTCCACTAAACATATAACTTGAGTCACCTCAAATGTATTATGAATAAGCACCTTATAGTTAGGATTTAATTATTGCTTCTCTTATCTCCTATGCTTCAAGTGGCCAGAATACATACGTGTAGCTACTTGTAAGTCTAATGCAATTGATCCTCGTCATGGAA